GCGCATTCCGCCATGATACGATTTTTTTCAAAAATCCCCAAGTCACGTCTGTATCCACTGCTCGCTTTGCTTTATTCAAATTAGAATAAGACGCTATTGAGAAGTCTGCGGATATTGAATTTCCAGCGATGATTGAATGGTGAAAATTCAATTTCATCTCATTTTTTTGGGGGGAAGGGGGTGCTGAGACCCGAACTCGAAGTATAGTTTCCGATTTTTGTAAAAAGGGGTGAAAATATGCACTTTTTGGTTCAAGATCTGGTTTTGTTTGTTCTCATAATTTTTTCAGTTTTACACGTTCTAAGAAAAATAATAATTTTTAATGCGAAATCATGGCAGATCAAATCCAGGCTGTAGTTGTCACAGGGGGTGCGTAGGCAACGGGGCGGTCGCCCCCAGAATTTTCAGGGCAAAGGTATTTTAGGCCTAGGTAAGTTTGCAACTGGTAACCCCAGCTGAGGACATGTATCATAGCACAGACTATTGTAGTAAGTAATTTTAGTCTTTGGGGTGTCCCAAGGTAAAAATACTCAAACCCACCAGTGAATGTTATTGTGATGAAGATTGTTTAATAGTGCTGCTTCATAGTGCGGAAATTCCATCCCCGAAGAGGTGTTAGCTTTCAACAAAATTTCCGTGGGGGTGGTCCCCCAGACGCCCCCTAAACAGGCAAGGGAGACCATCATAATGAAGGAAAATCTCTGATTATTCCTAGTGATAATGTCCAGAAAATTGATTGCTTTTTTAGATTTGCCAACTTTTTTAACAATGTCCACACAGCGGGAGGGGACCCCCTCCAATCACCCCCCCACATTTTTATGTAATTAGCAATAATATTTGTACGCGTAAAAAAATATATATACATACTCCAGTGGCGTAGACAGGTCCTCAGTTGTGGGGGGGGGGGATGATTTCGCTGTTACTTCCATCGCAATGTATATGAAGAGTGTGCGCGATGAGCGCAGACCGCGAGCGCCTTGGCGAAGCTCTTAATGGATGGGGTCCAGAGGCCCGCCCTATAGGGCCCCTGGCAGGGTGCAGGGGCAGAGCCCTTGCCCGGGGCCATGCAGGGGGCGGAGCCCCCGGAAGCTCTTGGATTTTAGCAATTTAGAACCTTCAAGATGGCCGTTTTTGAGAAAATTTTGTGAATTCTAGAGTATTTTTTTTCTTTGGATCCCAGCGGTTTAATAACACGCCTCCTCCCCCCACACACACAACCAGTGGCGGATCCAGAAGAAAATTCTTTGGCAGAGCCCGGGGCAGAGGGAGCAGAGCCCCCCCCCAAATTGAATTTTCCCATTCAATCCCCATGAAAATTCAATATCACAACTCTCAATAGGTCTATTCTAATTTTGAATAAAGCAATTGGATTTAACTTTCGTGAGCAGTGATAAGACAAAAAATCGTATATATGCGTCCAAAATTAACCGTCTGAGTTTCAATAAAATAATGTCATTCTTGGAACGAGTTACAGCCATTTTACAGTAGATGTATGTCACGTTCCATTTCTGTAATAATACATTAGGAGAGTATGAATAGCGATGAGGGATTTGTAGATAAATATCCAGTATTTATTGTCTGCAAAATATTAAATTTTCCCCATTTTCTTCGTGAAAGTAGGGGGATGAAAGCCACCCCACCTCAATAAGTGTGGGGGGATATACCCCCATCCCCCCGCTATCTACGCCCCTGTCAGATGAACTCAAATTTGATATTTGATATGCATACAATTATTCATAATCTTTGTTAGCAGTACTCTATAGGCGCCGCTGAAAGATTTTTGAAG